GGATCCCATGTGGAGACCGGTTCCCACTCACTGGCTGAGCGTGGTACGGGCACGACACCGAGGGTTGCGATCCCGTTACCGGTCAGTAAAAAAAGACAAAAAGGAAAAAAAAAAAAAAAAGTATCAATCTGCAATGGATTGGAAATTTTAAAAACTAGTCTTTTGCTACAGATAATTTGAGAAGCATTATATATATATAAAATACATTATATACTTTGACAATGAATTAGAGAAGGGTACTCATGGAGTTTTGCCAACTACCATTATTGGATTACAATCCCTTAGAGATTTAAAATGGGAACTGAAATCTTATCAGTAATCAACAAAAACACGGAAGTTAACTGACTGAATTAAAGTAATAAAGCCAGTTTACTGACAGAATTGAACTAAGGAAAAAAACCTAAGATTTATTGAGGGTTGAAGTGTCACAAGTTAGGTAATTTCAAATATACAATTGTTTACTCTTCACAACCAGGGCATTAGGTATTACTCTAAGCTTTACAGATGAGGATCAAAGAAGTTCAGTAATTTGCTCAGGGTCACAAAGTTCATAAATCTATCTCTATTTTTACTCAGCTTCCCATGCACAAAAAATGAAAGTAGGTCAAACGTGGAGAAAGATTCTAGGGTAGAGAAGAGAAAGGGCTAATATTCCTATAATGAAATACTATAAAAAATAACTTAAGAATACAGTATGGTAGGATGGACAAATTCCTTTCAGGAATATGTCCAGATGAACTAAGTAGGAGATATCATGTTCAATTTTGTAAATTCTGAAGGAACAAACACACACAATTCTCTAGAAGATGAGGTAAAGTTACTGTTGGGGTTCTTATGTACAAAAGGAGTAAACAGATAAGAACCAGGGCCATAGATCAAAGGTACCCTTCTCCTTGGCCATCTATCACAACACAAATTATTTTGGTTTATAACAGTTCTTCCCAATTAAGCTGCATGTGGTTTAAGAATCACATACTCTGCCTACCTCCCAACTCCTTATTTTTTCTTATTTCATATAAATGAGCCAGTATTCCCACTGAGCACCTATGGTCTCAGAATCATGCTAGACACATGGGCCTGATGTTATATTTTTGGTAAACATTAAAAATGTAACCTAAAGGGAAGAAAAATGGAGCACAGTTGTGTGCAAGGTCATGTGTTCTACAGCGGCACAACGATGTTTTTTTCCTAAGCAAAAAACATAAACAATGTCAGGTCAGTTTCTTCCGATGGCTTTCTAAAGAGCTAAACACTTCCATACTCAAGTCAGAAATAATTTTTTTAATGATAGTTTTACTGGTTTGAAATACTCTGCTACCACTTCAACAACCAAGAAATGTGCTCCGAGCTTTAAAGAACAAAGATTAAGAGACCACCTGCCCTAGGCAAACAGTAGAATTCTTATCATTTTCTCCAATGTGCCTAGCAAAACTCCAAAGACAACTATGCCCTGGAAAACTGATCACCCCACACAGCACGGTGTCAACAAAGTCATCTTGCTTAGCAAACTAAACAATATCAGTTAGCAGAAGGGCAGAAGGAATGAAATAACGTTCTTACTGTTCCACAGAACCTCTAAGTTTTGTTTCTAGTTACTTCTGACCTAAAGACAGGACCTTCTTCCGATTATTTAATTTTCATTATGCCTATATCAAAAGTTAAAGCAGGGCTGGCTTGTGGCTCACTCGGGAGAGTGTGGTGCTGGTAACACCAAGGCCATGGGTTTGGATCTCATATGGGGTAGCTGGTTAGCTCACTGGGTAAGCGTGGTGCTGACAACACCAAGTCAAGGGTTAAGATCCCTTTACCGGTCATCTTTTTATTAAAAAAAAAAAATTTAAAGCAGATGTAAAAAGTTTTAACATCACTGTATTCAACATCTTTACAGAAAGAAATATAGACCATACTCTAAGAGCCTGAGTAAAAGCTATGAAAATGATCTGTGGAAAAAAATAGCTTGTGGAACAATTCTTATAATGTAATCAATAGCCAGTGAGAGGAGGTGATATTCAAAGGATTGTGAGAAATGAAGTGCTGAGTAGCCAGCTACAATTCTCAGGAGGGTCATTTCCAGCCTATGTAGCCTTCTCCTGCCAGCCCCCCTCCACCCCCTAGCTGTTCTAATGTTGCAAAAACAGTACTTCCATCTAATCTACGTTTACCTTTCTGGAGATTGAAGAGACATTCAAACCAAATCTTTGAGCTCTTTCCTTTAGCTTATCCAGGTTTACCTACAAAAACATAGAAAAAGAAGCACATTAAAAAAAATCAAAACAGAAAATAGAAAGGTAGAAACTATGGGCCAAAGCTATGAATTCAAATAAGCCTATAACATCAAAGATATTCTATGTGTCGAATTAGGAAAGTAGGCAGCACCCAATCATCCCAGTGATTATTAAATGGCCTCTTCTGGAATGCAGCAAAAGATTTAGCACTGTCTCCTTCATTCATCAAAGGTGATGAAAGCCTAAGGAGGGTTTAAGATCAAAGTAGGCTAAACATTACTTGAAAAGGCAAATATGTCTAAATCATCACCTGCAAACAAGTCCACCATTCACAGTCCAAAAACATTAATTCCTTTGCATAGTTTCTGCAAGTAGTCCTTAACTCTTTTATCTCCAAGCAAAGAGAATCTCCCTTTTTCAGAAGACAAATCTACCACACTACTCAACTCAATTCTCTTCCCTCCTTTTTCTTGGAATCCTTGGTATATGAGACCTGTTATCATAAAGATGTTTAGGACATTTTCATTAATAACAATAACATTTCACTTTCACTTACAATATTGAACAGTAACCCCAAAAAGCAGGCTTTCATGAAGTTGAACATATTTCACCACAGCATTTGTTTTCCTTTTCTAAAAACATTCTCACTAGTCACAATGGCCCAGAAGGCCATTCTTATTCTATCTTCTTTACTCTCTGATTTTATATTTAATAAATAGGGTTAAAAAATAACAGTATTTACAAAAATAATTCATAAGTTGCTTCCATAGATTCTTGTGTGGTAATTGAGAATTAGCTATTATCTAAAGCCACTGGACAAGGCCTAAAACTCCAGTACCATAAGACAAAGGGACATATGGATTGTTCTCTAGCTAACAAAATCCATTCATCTTTTCAAAAAGAGAAGTGGTAGGAAAATGTCTGCAGTAACTTGGAAAATGTGGTAATTTTCCTGACCTCTCAATAGCTCAATTTTTTTTTTTTAAAAAAAGATGATTGCTAAGGGGATCTTAACCCTTGACTTGGTGTTGTCAGCACCACGAGCTAACCAGCCATCCCTATATAGGGATCCAAATCCATGGCCTTGGTGTTATCAGCACCACATTCTCCCAAGTGAGCCATGGGCCAGCCCTTGCTCAATTTTTTTTTTTATTCAGGACATACAACTTTGTACTAAAAACAGTCACCAAAATCATGATCTCAGAGTTTCCTCTGATCTGGCAAGAATTCTCTAACTTTAAAACTAACTATACAGAGTTAAGATCTGGCCCTGCCGGCCCGTGGCTCACTCGGGAGAGTGTGGTGCTGATAACACCAAGGCCACAGGTTCGGATCCCATATAGGGATGGGCCAGTTAGCTCACTAGGTGATCTTGGTGCTGACAACACGAAGTCAAGGGTTAAGATCCCCTTACCGGTCATCTTTAAAAAAAAAAAAAAAAAAAAAAAAAGATCTGGCCCTGCAAGGGATAAAAAAAACATTTCTTACCATAGGCTTGGTGTCAGATGACAGACCTAAGGAAGAAAATTAAAAAGTTTAATATTTCTAAAAGTCACAAAGGAAGTTGACAGTCCTCAAAAAAAAATTAGCATAAAAACAGTATATAGAACAAAAAAGTCCTTTATCTTATGATGAGAAAGAAAAGGCAGAAAATTGCATCTAGAGATCATGCCTACATTCATTGTTTGGTGGAACATAAAACGGTACAACTGCTTTGTAAAACAGCTGGGCAGTATCAAAAAGTTAACCATAGAGTTACCATATGACCCAGCAATTCTACTCCTAGTTATACCGAAATGAAAACATACGTCCACACAAAAACTTGTACACAAATGTTCACAGCAGCATTATTCATATCTAGACAAAAAGTAAAAGCAACTCAAACATCCACCAATTGATGCTGGATAAATAAAATGTGGTATATCCATAAAATGGAATATTATTCAGCAATAAAAAGGATTGAAGTAGTAATACATGCCACAATGTGGATGAACCTTGAAAACATACTAAGTGAAAGAAGCTAGTCATAAAAGCCCACATATTATATGACTTCATTTATATCAAGACAAATTTACATATAGGAAAAAAAAAATCAGTGGTTGCTTAGAGCGGGGGGGGGGGGCGTGAACTGGATGGGGAAAATTGCTAATGGGCACACGGTTTCTTTAGGTGATGAATACGTTCTAAAATTAGACTGATGATGACTGTACAACCCTGTGAACACACTAAAAAACAATAAATTACATACTTTAAGTGGATGAATTAAGTGGTATATAAACTGTATCTCAGTAATGCTATTAAAAAAGAGAGAGAACTAGCCGGTTAGCTCACTTGGTTAGAGAATGGTGTCAGTAACACCAAGGTCAAAGGTTCAGATCCCTGTACCAGCCAGCCACCAAAAAAAAAAAGAAAGAGAGGGTTATCATATATGGACAAATGAGCAGAGAGAGTTGAAATTATCGTCCTGAAATCACCACCAAGAAGCAAGTAGTAAATTGGTCTGTAGGCCCAACACTAACCTAATCAATAATTATTTATTTGAAACTTTTCAGAATTTTATTTTAAGCAATCTCAACCTTGTAAGTGGTTCCCTAACTCTCCACTACAAACATTCAGGTATGGATTCAATTTTTACCATGACCCATGGGCTAAGAACTGTTAGGTGCATGAATATTCTCATTCAAAAAAACAATACTTCTTTTTAAATGTTCCCAAATTCTACTCTTTTATTTAAGAGGTAACTCTGTAGTTCTTATTCCGTACTTCTTAGGACATCAGAATTATATGAATAACACTGCAAATGTTATCTATACATTATTTTATTGTAAGGTTTCGTTTCCAGATTATCAGTTTTTATCTTTCCTCAAATAGTACCATCTTTAATCATTTCCGTTGTCCTTAACCAATTCTACTTTTACATCTCTCCTGATATAACTAAGAACCAGAAAATACTGTTTCTAAAACACTTAAGTGACTGGCCAAAATTTTTCTGTCTTTTTAAAAGCACAGCAAAACACCACAAGACCTTTGGGGACATTTTAACACACTTAAAACAACTGACAAGTCACCAAGAAGACTGAAGTGGATTAGAAGACTACTTTTAAATTTTAAGTCCCTGAGGAGAGGAGATGTGTTCTTTTTTTTATTTCTAATTTTTTGCTGGCCAGTACAGGGATTGATCCCCAGACCTTGGTGTTATCAGCACCACACTCTAACCACCTGACCTAACCAGCTAGCTTGTTCTTTTTTTAACTGATAACTTTTACTAATTTATTACAAAAGCAATATGTATTCATTGTATGAATTTTATTTTTATTTTTATTTTTTTTCCTTTTTGTCTTTTTTCGTGCCCGGCAACGGATCGCAACCCTCAGTGTCGCGCCCATACCGGACCAGGACCGGCCACAGGATCGCAACCCTCGGTGCTGCTCCCGCCCCTCGCTCAGCCAGTGAGCGGCCGGTCTGCATGCGGGATCCGAACCCTCGGTGGGAGCGCCACCGCACTTCCCAAGCGGCGCACTACAGCATGCGCCACCGGGCCAGCCCTATTGTATGAATTTTAAAAACACAAACAAGCAAAAAGAAGTCACTCAAAATTCCAGCAACCAGAGATAATGACTACTAACACTTTGGTATATATCCTTCTTATCTCTTTTCCTATCCGTACATGTTCTCTTTTATGACTAAAATGGGAACATACTGTTAATATAATTTTGTAACTTATTTTTTTCACTTAATATCTCTCAAACAAATGTTTTTCACTATCATTTTAAACATAGTATAGTCTTCAACATACTATAGCACACCTTAATCAATTCTCTATTGTATATTTGGTTGTTTGCAGTTATTGATAATTATAAATAATACTGTGATAATCCTCATGGCTAAATCTTTAAGCACATCCAAGATTATTTCCTTCTAAGTTCCTAGAAGTAAAATTGTTAAGGTAAAGATACTCTTTTCCCTTTTACCATGTATATTAGCCAGCATTAAAACTGGATAGGTACATAATAATTTTATGTTGATAAGACACTAGAATATTAAGCAAAATAGTAGAAACATCTCTGAAGATGTCCAAGAAAAGGAAGACAAATGTTGGCACTTCCTCCTATCCTCTCATAACTTCAATATGTTCTCTTAATTGCACAAGAAGGCTTAAGTATGATTTACCTAAAGCAAAGTGATGAATGTTATAAACTCTTAAGGGATTCTGGAGTTAACAAGTTTACCTTAGTTTGGAGAAATGAAATCTGTTGTGCCAGAAAGAATATAAAGATAACTTTCTCAGAAGTCTCTGTACTCCTACCTTTTGTTGGAACTGAAGAAATCCCAAACCTGTAGAAAGAAAAACAAGCTAAATTTTAGGAAGCTGTTCACACTTCCAGTTGTCTGTGTCCGTGTCAAGCGTACATATCACACTTCTCACTTGTGATCTCAAGCCTTGCAATCATTAGCTAATTCTAACAACCCCATGAAAGAGGCTCAGTTTACTCTCCTTCTCACCAAGAGTCCAGAAAATAAGCTAAAAGGAAGCCTTATCAGAATGAGGAGTAGCAGTCAGTTCCTGACTTTTACCTATTATAAAAACCATTCTCAATAACAGCCCAATCTATAGCTACTATATCCAAATCAGCAGAGATGTTCTGAATAGGTCCAAAAAAGGTGTTCATTTCTTTTCAGCAAGACCTCTATTCTACTTAAAATCAACAATTATATCTAAAACCTAGGATCACACCCTGCCTCACCCTCATATCATGACTATCTCAGGTCCAAAAGGCTGGGGACACTCACCTAGCTGCTCGAGCAGCTTTCTTACTCTCCAAGCTCACGGGTACATTAAATCGTTCAGCCCTCTTCTGCATTCTCTAAGTGATAATAGGCAAAAGAAGGGGAAGAGAAAAATTTAATTTGTGGTTAAAAAAAAGTTGGTTAGAGGGGGGTATCTTAAGAACATCAAGAGTAATTTCTTAAGGTCTAAAGTGAAAATACTGGCACTCTTAGAGGATATCAGGTTGTGTCCATCCTAGGGCTTAACTCAACAGCCCTTTCCAGAAAGCAAACACAAAAAGACTATTATTACATTCAGCTCTCAAAAACAAAATGGAGGAATAAAATAAAATAAAACCCACATTCTGCATGAAGCCAAGAAGACAAAAGCTGTGTTTGACCTTTGAAAAGGGATCAAAGGAACAGCTTGGTTCCAATACTAGTGGTACTCTTCCCATTAGAAATGAGGCAGTGCTGTCTTATGCCATCCTAACAGAGTTTAATAATTCTCCACTTTCAAGGCGCAAAACCAAACACAAGATCTCAACTGGAACCTGGTTTCACGGATCTTGATACGGAATCCAGAAATATTTCAATCTCACCTGCTAGCAAGTAGCTACTTTAGAGTGACATATACCATTACTTTTTCAAGGTACAATCCGCCCAAACTCTAATCCTAAGTTTGTAAACATCTTAAAGAGGGTTATCACCAAAACCATAGTATTACATACAAAAAGACTACAGCTGCAAAGGTGACTACCTACTATGCCAGCCCAAATATTTTCCAAAGAATAGTTGGTAGAGAAATATAACAACACCAAAATCTGTCAATACTGATTTTCTGCCTATGAAAAAAAATTTTTAAATGATGATGCAGACAGAATAAAGGGTAAGAAACAGAGAGAAATGCAGAGACTGTTCTTCTCCTAGGGAGCAGAACACCTACCTCAGTCTGTGGTATTTCAGATGTAATTTTTACAACTTTTTTCTCTGCTGCCCTGGAAAAGAAGAAAGAGATTTTTAAAAATCAGAAAAACTGATATTCTAAACCAAAACCTTAGAAATGTATAAGAATTCACCTGAGTCATGTTCTCTGCCCCATATCTCTCTGCCACCCCTTAGTTCAAAGAAACATGAAGTCCATTAGAACTTTGGTTCCTCAAACTGTCATGTACTGAGAAGAAAGAATTCAAATAACAGACTAAGCTACTTTAGCTAGGGAATAAGAAAGTAATCAGGAAAGAAGTCTGGTTAAATATATTGAACCGAAGGGAAACTCTCAAAAGACATCAGAAACCATCTTACTTGCTTTTAGGAACTTTAAATTTACTTTTGGACTAATGACTACCCCTCCAATCCTCATTTAAATAAATACCAGCTCTCAATTTTCATCACAACAATCACTACAAGCCCTGGTTTCTTTCTTTTACAAATCCCTTATTTCTCCCATGGGGACTGTAGCTCCAGCTTAAACACTCAAAGTGAAACAAATAAAAGACAGAGGGGAGTTTGAATTAGGAAAACATGGTAAGTTACTGGTCAAAAGGTCTAAGAGAAAACAAAAGACCATCGGGGTGGGAGACAAAGTTCGGAAGTACCCAGGATAAATGAAAGGGCATTAACCCTCCACCAAACAACTCCCATAAAACTGTGGGTCATAACCAGTCTCATTAAGGTCCCTCATTTAGAGACATGGGCGGCTTTTGTTCCAATATCCCGGACAGTTTTCCCATTTGATGCCCTGAAAGGTAGTAATGGCTTAATGACATTTTCAGAGGAAGCAATTCTGAACAGGAACTCATACTCTGTCCTCCATCCTTTTGTTGGAGGTCCCTGGACTGACAGACAAGCAGTGGGTGCCCCCTACTGACCATAACTAAATCTTACAATATTTAACTGCTTTGGTTGAAAAAAAAAAATCAAACTAGAGAGGTTCATTGTTGGAGAACCTCAGGCTAAAGATGAAACAAGGGGAACTCCTTTTGAATATTCAAACAACCTAAATTAGCCCGGAGTATTCTCACTTTTAAAAAATGTCTAAATTCTTATTTCTTGGCCACTCTTCTCCAACCCCTTCTGTCTTGTTTAGACATAAAAGGCCAGAGAAGTTTAATGTTTTACTTGAAGTCCAATGCCATTAAGAGAGCAGTTCTGTCAACCCCAGGCTAATGACTTCCTCCACATTCCCATACTGAAACACAATCATTGCAGTACACCTCATGAAAGAAAGGGAACCACAGAGAGGAAGCTTCCTTCCGCTCTATTCCAATTCCCTTAAGCACAATTAAACTCCAGCAATAAATACACATCGCATTCTGGGACTCACAGGACTTTTCTGTCTCACAGGACTGAAAAATTTCTCTCCTACACACAGTCACATACAAGACACTCCCCAAACTAAGAGACCAAAAAACTTTTTATATACTTTAGTCCAACCACAACTTTCCCTTTAAAAAGCAAAATTACCACCACCCACATACTGTCAATTTCCTTGTTTCGAAACTCATTAACAGAACTAAAGCCCAAACAAGAGAACTACATATTTTATATATTCTATGGATAATGAACTTCTTCAAATTTTCAAACATTATTTTTTAACTCACACAAGTCAATTATCACTGTATTCATTTGATCTTCCTTCCTGTCCCAGAAGTCCTCAAAGCATCTCTATTTTAAAGCTATCCCACTAAGTCATTTTCTCAAGGCACTACTGTATAACTAATCATAAACCTCCTATGATGAGAAGATAACTAAATGGCTTTAGAAAGTGCTATTTGAGCCCATGGCGCACTCGGGAGAGTGCGGCGCTGGGAGTGCAGCAGCGCTCCCGCCGCAGGTTCAGATCCTATATAGGGATGACCGGTGCGCTCACAGCACTCACTGGCTGAGCGCGGTGTGGCCAGTCTCAAAAATAAAAAGGACAAAAAAACCAAAAAAAAAAAAAAGACTGATATTGGGCCAGCCCGGTGGTGCACTGCTACAGTGCGCCGCTTGGGAGTGCGGCGGCGCTCCCACCGAGGGTTCGGATCCCACATACAGACCGGTTCCCGCTCACTGGCTGAGCGAGGGGCGGGCGCAGCACCGAGAGTTGTGATCCCGTTGCCGGTCACGAAAAAAGACCAAAAAAGGGGGGAAAAAAAAAAAGAAAGTGCTATTTGACGAAAATGTATCAAAATGTAAAATGCATATCCTTCGTGATGCAGCAAATGCACTGCTAGAAATTTATCCTATGGACACACTTGCATAAGTATAAAAATAGACTAGGACATGAAGCACTACATGTTGTTGCTTTTATGAACAATCGAAATGTCCATCAACAGAAGACTGGTAAAATAAATTACGGTTCATCCACAGAATGGAGTACAGTCATCCCTCCGTATCTGTGGAGGACTGGTTCCAGGTACTCCCACGGATACCAAAATCCAAGGATGCTCAAGTCCCTGATATAAAATAGTGTAGTATTTGTATATAACCTATGCACATCCTCCTGCATACTTTAAGTCATCTCTAGACTACTTATAATACCTAACATAATGTAAATGCTATGTAAATAGTTGTTATACTGTATTGTTTAGGAAATAATGACAAGGGAAAAATATCTATACATGTTCACTATGGTTGCAATTTTTTTTTCAAATATTTTCAATTCGTCTTTGGTTGAATCCACGGATGTGGAACCTATGAATACAGGGGGCCAACTGTACTATTAGCTGCTAGAAAGAATAAGCTTCTAATTGATAACTACTAAACCTAGGTGATAGATAATTGAGGGTCTATCATACTATTTTCATAACTTTTGTATATATTTGCAATTTCCCACAATAACAAGCTAAAAAAGAGAGACTTACCACTTACTAGGATAATTATCCATACCTCATAAGTCTGATGGGAGGATTAAATAGAATTTATCTAAAATACTTACAACCATGTCTAGCATGTAACTAACATTTAAATAAGGACATTACAATGATGATGATGATATATATCTCCAGATGTGAAAAAAAATCAAGAAACAGAGTGCACAGTGTGTATACACATCTCTATGTACACATACATACTTATGTACATACATGTATACACATACACACATGCACACAGACCCCATATATAAAATACTCCAAAAGAAATGTACTAAAAACCTCTAGAAAGTCAGATGCGGGTGGATCCAAGGGATACTTGATTTTTACTTTATATACGCCTCTACATACTGTTTGACTTTTACTTGTACACAGAGCCCTTTATAATTAAATGCATTAATATAGCTATGAGGAACAAAAATGTTAAAAGGGACTCAATTGTTCTTAATGTGCTACAGTACAAACTGGCCAGACATTTGCAGAAAGAGCCCCAGATAAAAGATGTTTATGATCAACCCTGTGGGATAGTTTAAAGAAATCGAGATCCACTTTCCACTCTAGTACTTTGCTTTCCCCTCATCCACTGTAAATCAAAAGGCAAGAGAGAATACAGTGTTACTTTAAAGACTTAACCTCTGTCCAACACCCTCCCACCTTACAAAACTCTTTATATTGGTTTTACACTTTTACAGAAAAGTAAAGAGTATATCTATAAAGAACAGCAGAGTTTAGAGTTTTACATCATATAAAGAATCATATAAAATCTCTATACAGGAACAGAATAGTCTATTGTGGTAATCCTACAAAAGAACAAAGGTTAGAAGAAGTAAACTGTATCTGGGCTTGAAGTCACCTGGTTCTAATTATCTATTACATAACTCAGAGACAAACTGCTTTGCTTCACTGGGACCATGTACTTGGAATGAAGCAGACCCTTATAAAAATGTACAATCTAATCAGAAATGAAAAGGCCAAGGGGAATGTGTAAGAGATAAATAGAGTGAAACATTAAACTCAATAAAAATAGAACTATCCACTCTGTACTCAGATTATAAAAAAGGGATAATTACACATCAACAGTTTTTTCAGGAGGTTCTTCCTCTTTGACAGGCAGTTCTATGGGCTTTGGTTCTTCTTCCTAAAATCAAATAAAATAAGATAATTAACATAAATCAAAAGAATAAATACTCATCAATAGAAGAATATCAAAACTTCAAAATGAACCAGTCTTACCCTCTTATGCTTCTCTAATAAATCAGCATCTAAGCACTCCAATGACTGATGCTAAACAATGTGACACATTACCTGGCCAGTGACTAACCTTACTCTCCCCAACTTACCTCTGTTTCATCTCCCAGTACATCTTCTTCATTTGCCTCCTCTTCAGCTAAAGAATATTAAAATATTCAGGTCAAGCCCTGCTTCAAAACCATCTTGATCACTGTACTAAGGCTAAAATTATACTCACTTTCCTTTCCCAAAATAAAATTCAATAATGAAAGCAGAACTGATGCTCATAAAATTTGCTACATTTGGAAAAGATAAAACTAGATCTCTACTTAACATTAATAGAAAGCTGAATTCCAGCTATACTGAAGAACTAAATGTGATGAGGTCAAACTACAAAATTAATTTAAAAAGTAATGTGGGAGAATATCTTTGAGATTTGCTGGTGAAGAAAGATTTGTTCAAAAAAAAAATCCAGAAGCAAAAGAAATAGGTAAAAAATTAAGATTTTTCACAACTACGGACTTCTATGGAACAAGTTAAAAGACAAATGACAAAGATAATTGTTTCTAAAATCAACAAAGGAATAGTTATTAGAATGTAAAAAAAAAAATGCGTGTAAGCCAATAAACAAATGATGGCAACCTCAACAGAAAAATGCGCAAAGAAGAAATCCAAAGAACTACAAACACTAGAGATGTTTAAACTTTCTTCATAGAGAAATGTAAATTAAAACAACCAAGAAATCAGCAAAAATAGGCCACTTGATAGGATAGTGCCAAGTTTAGGTTTGTGGAGACACAAGAAACCTCATGCACTGTTGATGAGAGTGTAGATTTACAGAGCAATTCTGGAATACAATTTGGTGGTGCTTAGCCATATTAAGTATACATTTTACAAACATATAGTAATTAGTAATACTGTACACACACACACACACACACACACACACACACACACACACACACACACACACACACCCAGTAAGACTCTCACAGAAATATAAGGGCATGAAAGAAGTAGTTCATAATTATAGTATACTACACATATAACATACATATAGTACTAATACGTATAATATTACTAATAATAAGTAGTATTACTTATAGTAGCAGGAGCTTGGAGGCAACATTGGTATCTGTTACTGGGTGAATTAAGCAAGATATGGGGGCTATACATTACAGAAGGCTATGTCGGAATTGATATCAATAGATTAGATGACCATACAGCCACATGCCACATGAATACATCTCAAAAAAAAAAAAAAAAAAACCATAGTACTTAGTGAAAAAGTGAGAAATAAAGTAAGGCCATGGCCTCATTACCAATTATATAAATGAAAATATTGTAACAAACAACACTACATGGTTTACAAGGACAAAGACAAAAAATACATATCAAACACATTAAAATGATTGCCTAAGGAGGTTAGGCAGAAGTGAAATGAGGAATGGGAATAAAAGGGAATAAATACAAATTAGAGAAGGAACTTATGTACAACCTGGGATGATAATATGCTTTAAAAGAAGTTGGGATTTTTTGTTTTATTTATTTATTTATTTATTTTTGTCTTTTGTCTTTTTCCGTGTCTGGCAACGGATCGCAACCCTCAGTGTTGCCCCCGTACCGGACCGGGGACCGGCAACGGGATTGCAACCCTCGGCGTTGCCCCCGCGCCTCGCTCAGCCAGTGAGCGGGAACCGGTCTGTATGTGGGATCCGAACCCTCAGGCAGGAGCGCCGTCGCGCTTCTCAAGCGGCGCACTTATCCAGTGCGCCACCGGGCCGGCCCTTTTTGTTTTATTTTTTAAAAGGCAGAATTGGAGAATGTCAGAGGTAGGAGGGACAAGAGATTACCCAGTTTATAGATTTCAAGGGTTCAGACATTTGTTCTCATTTCACAGATCAGGAACAGACTCTTAGGCATGCAAACAGTGACTGTCCAAAGTTACCTAGTAAATGTCTGGCATAAAAGGAATTACACTTCAAGTCTTTCAATTCTTAGTCTAATGATATTACTGCACTACCTTTTAAATAACATGTTGACTATTCCGAACAGCCAAGGAATAGAATCAACCTAAATGCCCACCAACAGATGAGTGGATAGGGCTGGCCTGTGGCTCACTCGGGAAAGTGAGGTGCTGATAACACTAAGGCCATGGGTTCGGATCCTATATGGGGATGGCCAGTTAGCTCACTGGCTGAGCGTGGTGCTGACAACACCAAGCCAAGGGTTAAGATCCCCTTACCCATCATCTTTATAAAAAAAAAAAAAACAGATGAGTGGATAGAGAAAATGTGGTATACATACACAACAGAATACTATTCAGCCATAAAAAAAAATTGAAATCCTGTCATTCGCAGCAAAATGGATGAGCCTGAAGGACATTATATTAAGCGAAATAAGCCAGGCACAGAAAGATAAATAACACCATGTTCTCACTTCACATGGAAGCTAAGAAAAGTGATCTCATAGAAGTAGAGTAGAATAGTGGTTACTAGAGGCTGGGAAGGGTAGGGGGAAGACGGGGATGGGCAGAAGTTGGTTAATAGATATAAAGTTACAACAGGTTTTAGCATTCTATAACACTGGAATGACAGTTGTTAAGAATTTACTGTATATTTTCAAATAGTTAGAAGAGAGGATTTTGTTTGTTTTTTAGAGGGGGTAGCTGGCCAGCACAGAAATTAAACCCCACACCTTGGTGTTACCAGCACCACACTCTAACCAACTGAACTAACTGACCAGCCAAGAAGAGAGGGTTTTGAATGTTCCCAACACAAAGAAATAAATGTCTGAGATGACAGATATGCTAATCACCCTGATTTAATCATTACACATTGTATACATGCATCAAAACATTTCCATACCCCACTGATATGTATAATTATATACATAAACATGTAAAATTATGTCAATTAAAAACATCAAAAACAAATAACATGCTGAAATAAAATTACGTCTTTTAAAAAAAGGGGGATTTTTTTTGCATTATAACCACTCTTTTGTATGACCAAGAGTTTTCTTGATACTGTTCATCAAGAGCTTACATCACCAATGACCTAAAAAGAAGAAATCTTCTAAGTGACAGAGCCTGAAAATTAATCCTTTCAGTCACATCACTGCCTCCACAAAGTACTCACCATGCTCTTCAAGATATGCCTGGAGCCGGTTGATGAGATCTTGTTTTATCCCCTTAGTCTCCAAACCACGTGCAAGACATTCTTGCTTTAGTTCAGCAAGCTGAGGAAAAAAACACAACTTTTCCTAAGTTAACAGAATGAACCCCAATGAATGAAAAGAGGTAGTTCTCACAAGAAAATGATAATAATAATAATGAAAATAAAGTTCAATCCCAAACTACTGCCCTTAATCCTACCTCTAGGTCCACAGAGATGATCCTCTTTCCTCTAACAATATTCAATATGCAAGAGGACTTCTCCAACAGGTTTTGAAGAATATATATCACACTTTAATAAAATTCTGATCTATTTGTGTACCTATTTATTATCACAAATTTTTAGCTATTTCTGAATAATTCTGAGGGGAAAAAAGTTTTTTTTCTAAAGATTACGGTGCTAGCTGGTATATGGAAAGAATGAACCTTTGAACAATACTCAATGATCTAAAAGTAGACTTTCCTTACCACCTATTAGCCCAGATCCTTTATTATAATCTACCATACATATGCATACAGGTCTGACCACTATAGAATTAGGTAGATTGTTACCTAGTTTAATGTCAACAATGAATTCATTAAAGGATCTATGTCGAAATGGAAAGAAATATCTAATAGCATGCGACAGAGTTCTGTTGAAGATTTTCAAATCAGTAACTTGACTAAAGATATAAAAGGTATGCTTATCAACTTTATAGACAATAGGAAGAGGGAGAATTGATGTATTACTGACTGAACTAAGCGTTTTAAAACAAAACAAAACAAAAAACCCTCCAGGGAACAAAATGAGCCAAAATGAAGATTCAATTTAGAAGGAATAAGGTATACATATAAAATCCTACACTTAGATCAAAACTTCAGTTGTATAAAAATGGGATGAGGGAGATCTGGCTCAACAGTAACTCAAAGGATAAATACCTTTCTAGGTAAAGTGTTTTAACAGTTTGATTTGCTACCAAAACAATTTTAAGCTCTAGGTAACTGAAATACAGAATCCATAATAAATGATGTATTGATACTACTGGGCTCTGTATTCTTATTTTACAAAGTATAATGACAGGCTGATCCAAGGAGAACAAGCAGGAAAAGGAAGGATCCAAAAATCGTATCTGCAGATCAGTGCACAAAAAGATGTTTGGTCTAAAAGAAGTTACTGGTTTCAAAGCGCAGATCTAAGACTATCCAGCAGATGTTAGAAAGCAGATTCCTATACAGGAAAGAACTTTACAACTATGGAGTACGCGCTGCAGCTCTACAAGGTGTTCGGCCAGGGGAGCCTTTGGAAGTGGAGAGTGGAGCTTTTTTATTTTTCTTTCTTTTTTTTTTTTTTTTAAATATCACAATGATTGGGAAGGTAGAACATTTAGTGAATGGGGCAGGCAGACAGGGATGCTATGCAGAGAACTGTACTACTCAACAAGCTAACAGTACCCTCTACTGAGAAACATGGTAGGTAATCACCCATTGAAAATTTTTAGGCTTCTTTCTATAATAAATGACTGCAAAGTAAAATTATTAAGAACATGTCCTCTGAAGCCAGATTATCTGGGTTCAAATGCCAGCTTTACCACTTACAGCTATGTAACCTTAGCTAAGTAACATAACCTCTCTGCGCCTTGGTATCTTTACCTGTGAAATGGGAATAACAACAGTACCAATCTCATAGTGTTATTATGAAGATAAATCAGTAAATATTGATAAAGCATTTAGAACAGTGCTTGGCAGCTAGTAAGTACTTTGTAGAGTTAGATAGACACTGGGTAAGAGATTAGACAAGATTAGACAAAGTCACTCATTCTCAGATTTCTTTTTTTTTTTTTTTTTGTCTTTTTCCGTGTCCGGCAACGGATCGCAACCCTCAGTGTCGCCCCCGTACCGGACCAGGACCGGCAACAGGATCGCAGCCCTCGGTGTTGCTCCCACGCCTCGCTCAGCCAGAGAGTGGGAACCGGTCTGTATGTGGGATCCGAACCTTCGGCGGGAGCGCCACCGCACTTCCCAAGCGGCACACTATAGAAGTGCACCACCGGGCCGGCCCTCAGACTTCTGAATTTCACAGATCAATGTATTTTTAAATACATAGGCTGATAGGGCTACTTTTAAAAATATGCCAACAACTGGGTCATGGACCAATACTTTTGTAAAAAATAATAAAAATCATAATTGATTTTTATTAGAAAAGTGTGTGCTCATTTATCAGAAAAATGAGCAACACTTGAATGTAGCAGTGATATTAAAGTGCTATAAATGTTTCTTAAAGCTTACTCTCAATTTTTTGTACTTATCACTAACCTGTAACAGCTAGTTCATGGACCAGCACTGGCCTACAGACCATACCCTAAACAACATTAATCTAGAATCTAGACTCTATAAGTGATCTTTAAGGTCCATTTCTTAAGTAAGAATGTTGATCTTTCTCACATTGGTACTTTATTTTCTTTCAGCTTCCTGGAGAACCAGCCTTTTGATTCTAGTTACACTTTAAAATTTTTTGTTGGTTTGTTATAAAAGTACTCTGCTCACTGTAGAATATTAGAAAATTCTGAAAAGTAAAAGGAAAATAAAAGTCATTTGTAATCCCAGCACCTAGAGATCACCTAACATTTTAAACATATCATGGGGGGGCAGGGCTGTGTTGGTTGTTCATTCACAAAGAAATACAGCTGCTTTATTTCCTTTAACTCATGATCTTCCTGGTAACCCTAAGCCTCAATTACTCTGCTCACCCCAGCCCACCCCATTTAGATAACATTTTTTGGTAAATATTCAGGCAATTCAGAATTCATCTTTCCTTTTTTGCAGTTGCATAAGTATAAATATTTTATTTGTACCAAAACAGAATTTATTATAATTTTGCTTTCCTTGCTTTAAAAGTAGCAAACTCATCAATAATATTTTCAAAACATATTTCTTTGCTTATCTCATTTTCAGTTAAGAAAATTACCACGTTTGACAATTTCTCTTGACCTAGCAACATTCTGAAATAATTTTTCATTAACTTTAGCTTACAGAAACTTATTTTGCAGGATTTCACCGTGACCAGTACTGTTAAAATATTCTCAGGGCCATTTACAAATTTGTTTTGGTTTTTGTGGCTGCTGGCCAGTACAGGGATCCAAAACCTTGACCTTGGTGCCATCAACACCACACCCTAACCAACTGAACTAACCAGCCAGCCTGCCATAGAATTCAGCTTTCTAATAGAATTGTTACTCCCTTCTCTTTCCTTCTTCCCCAAATTGTGCCTAGATATAGGCAAGTTTACAAAACCTTTTTTTATAGGCTTTCTCTTTAAGGTGACAGAGAAATGGAGTCAGTTATGGTTACACAGGATGCGGATGTACTATGAACTGATCTAGACTGAGAGCTGACATACATAGTAGTACAACTGGTCCCCACTGGCATGGATAACATCTGTCACTGTTGACCTTGCCATTGCCTCAGTCACTGAGGTCTCTCTCAGCCCCCAGTGGTTCCCAATACCTAACCCCCAGTATCAGGTTCATTCAGCAGTCCTATCAGCATCAAGTCCCCTTCTCTGGTCAAACAAGAATGTTACATACAAGCGTACTTCAAAAAGTTTGTGGAAAAATAGAATTAAAAGATAATATGAATATTCCCATGAACTTTTTGAAGTACCCTCATACAGTTTTTACATAATGTAGTATTACTTCATTATATTGTGGGTTCTTTTTCACATACGAACACATTATTTTAAAAAGTAAACAGATGAGTAAAAATACAAAATAGCTGAAAATGAAGTAATTCTTTTCACATACATTTCAGCACAATTATGTTATTAGTAGGACTAAAACCTTTTAGATCTTCAAATAAGAACTTATAATAAAGTTTACCCCATTTTCTAATGAATTTGATTTTAAAATATTTTATTTTATTTTATTTTATTTTTTTAAAAGATGACCGGTAAGGGGATGTCAACCCTTGGCTTGGTGTTGTCAGCACCATGCTCAGCCAGTGAGCAAACCGGCCATCCCTATATAGGATCCGAACCCGTGGCCTTGGTGTTATCAGCACCGCACTCTACCGAGTGAGCCACGGGCCGGCCCTGATTTTAAAATATTTTAAAAGAATGTATTTAAGGCATATTGAGTGAATTATATCTCAATAAGGCTATTAAAAAAGCAAGCTATAGAACACTGGATACAGGATACTAACATTTACACGTAAAAAGTAATACACATACCCCTTCCTATATGATGTATACATACAAAATGCCTGAAAAAGAAACAGGTAACTTAACACTGAGTGAATCTGAGAAGAGGAAGATAGCTGGGGATAAGTATAGGAAGGAAACTTTTTACCATATACGCTTTTCTACCTTTAGAATTGTGAATGTACGCATAAATTATCTATTCAAAAATTAACTTTAGGGCCGGCCCGGTGGCGCACTGCTACAGTGCACCGCTTGGGAGTGCAGTGGCGCTCCCGCCGAGGGTTCGGATCCCACATACAGACCGGTTCCCGCTCACTGGCTGAGCGAGGTGCGGACGCAGCACCGAGGGTTGTGATCCCGTTGCCGGTCCCGGTCCGGTATGGGCGCGACACTGAGGGTTGCGATCCATTGCCGGACACGAAAAAAGACAAAAAGGAAAAAAAAAATTAACTTTAAAAGATCTTATTTTTCCAGTATCAGTGAAGCATTCTCCATTCTACCTATACCTACAGAAAAAGGACAGATCTACTGATCCCACAGTACATTTGACTTTAATCATTCATTGCCCTGTGATTTCTTCTAGTTTACTAATCTTGAATTTTGTTTTTTTGGTTTTTCATTTTTTGGGTTTTCTAAACTTTTTTATTGAATCATAACTGTTTATCCATATTTTGGTGGTTCAATGTTGACATATGTTGATCAAATCAATATTATCACCTTAGATATGATTACAAATCATACTTATTCTTAATGCCCCTTATCCAATCTGTCCCCACACCCCTCTCCCTCCCTTCTCCCACCTCTGATAACCCTAGATTTCATCTCACCTTCTGAAAGAGTAACGGTTACTCTGTTGATCTGTTGCCTAGATGATCTATCCAGTGCTGAGAG